TTTTTAGGTTCCCTTTTTTTTTTTTTTTTTTTTTTTCAAATCTGAAACCCTTTATTTTTACCAATAATATAATATCAAAGCACATTTTGGCGACCCTTTACTTGCTGGCGCCCGGGGACATCTGCCCCCCCTGCCCCCCTCTCGCTACACCTCTGATTGAAGGGATAAATATTGATGTTAAACAAAGGTTTGGGCGGAGGAGGGTATTTTTAACGGCAACGTTCTATTCCAAAGGTTGGCCGATCTTTTTGATGTTACCGATCTAATTTTCGAATTCAGTGTGCAGTGTCTCAACATAATGGTTCTCGCCCCATGAAAAAAGTATCGGGAAAAAGGGGGGGGGGTGTCCGTGAGCTGAATTTCCTTTGTAATTTAATTATAGATGAACACTGCGGTCATAGTAGCTGCAAGTGAATCGGCGTGTAACCCCCCCTCCCCCCGACGTAAGTTTTTGTTTAAAGCAAAGCCTTTCAATGCCACCCCCAAGACCCTCCCAGTCCAGGAAGGATGGCGGGGGAAATGACACATTTTAACCCGAAACTAGACTTTACCTGACGTCACTTGGGGCTTCCATTGCCAACGCCGAACTTGTTCCTGTGTTGACCTACATTTATAGTGCACATCTCAATGTGGGTACCAGGGCCGTCACTTGACTTTTTGAGGCCTCATGCCACCTTTTAGTTTTTCAAAACGTTTTCCACATCACAACTTTGAGTCCTTTAAAAAGCCGAGCCCCCCCCCCACCCCAACCCCTTTTTGCAGTGACGTCATTTTGGGTAGAGATTCTATTCTGTATAAATTGCTAAGTACTGTGACGCCTCCAATAATAAACAACTCAACACGTCAGCCAATTTAAGATATGGTTTTTGCCTAGAGACCGACCGAAATTGATTTTCTGATTTCGGCTGAAACCGAAACCAGACCGAAAGTTAAGAATGACTTTCGGCGTAAACCGAAAGTTTAATGAGACTTTCGGCCGAAATGAAAAGTTTAACGAGACTTTCGGCCGAAACCGGAAGTTTTAGATATTTTGAAATTCGTTCACGCAAACATTCTGCATACTTTGGAAAATGATGGCGGAACGTATCAATATTAACACTCTTTTTATAAAAATGAGCTTATCGTGAATATGAATAGGAAAACATCTAATGAATAGGTTGTTTTTTTTTACCATTAGAATAAAAAATAATTTAAGTTGTTAAAATGTATTTTAAAATAGGATGGTTAAGAGAAATTTGTAAAAAGTGTGGTTTGCATGAATCCCCCCCCCCCCCCCCAGATGTCCTTTGCTTTTTGATATAATTACAGCGCTATCTGAAAATATTTGTTATCGATCGACAGCTTAGCATTTCATTTTAATTGGTATGGTTCGCTAAAATGTCCAGACATAAGCCTTGAAAGAACTTTTTGCTGCTCTAAACCATACATTTTCGTTAAGACACGCTTCCTTATTGGCCGACCAATATTATTTCGTTTATCTGCAATTAAAGGTCAAACAAAGGTTAAACGAAATTTGAGTTACGTTTATTATGATAATACAGTAGCAGACCTGGTTAGGCTGGAACTCTCAATGTATAGTCTTAGAATAGTACTTTTACCATCTACGCCCATCTTTGTTTGACTATTTTGAACCATTTTCACACAACCTAACCTCAGGAAACTGCTCGGCATCAGGTGGCAAGACAAAGTTCCTGACACAGAGGTCCTCGCTAGAGCGAACCTACTTATTTTTATCTTTACCACCCTGATGCAGTCTCAACTCCGTTGGATGGGACGCGTAACCCGAAGACCACCGCCACCGGCTCCAAAAAAAGATATTCTTCGGAGAACTCCAGATAGGCAAGCGCTCCAAATGAGGTAAAAAAAAAAAAAGCGTTACAAAGACTCACTGAAAGCGGCTCTAAAGGCCTTCAGCATCAACCCCACTAAATGGGCGCAGACAGTGCTGGACAGAGCCAGGTGGAGAGCAGCTGTCAAAAAGGGGGCTAAATCTCATGAAGCCAGTAGGATAACCACAGCTGAGACACGCAGTCTAGCCCGAAAGAGCAATATTAGATCACCGACTGCAGCAACTATCCCCTGCCCGCGGTGCCAGAGATTATTCCGAGCACGGACTAGCAAGCCACCTACGAATACGAGATCCCCCGTAACTCCCTCCCCTCTTCCCCTAACCTGATGACTCGATGGTCCTAGTCGATTTCGACGGACGAATAACAACAATAACATTAAATTAATTATTAAACATTCTTGATTTGAAATGATTTAAATGAAACACTTTTCCCCCCCCCCCCCCCAAAAAAAACGCATTTCGTTCTATTACAAAACAAACAAACCAGTAATTTGAGGTAGTTGTAGTAGAGGCCTAATAGTATCATACACTAATTTTATATTAGCCTACTAATTAACTGAATAAATACATTTTATTCAATGTAAAAATAGTACTAGAATCTATATATATTTTCAATTTATTTGCATTTCAGTTACCTTTAGATCTAGTAAAATTTATTAACTACGTGTCTATTTAAGTATTTTTGAGGTAACCGGTTTACTCCGAATCGAAGGTAAATTTGTCATTATAAAAAGTATCGATATTAATTAATATTTTTTTTCATTTCGTTTCGCCGAAGTCCGCGCTCTGATAAACTTTTGATGTTCCTTTAGGCAAATGAAAACACATTTGAAAAAAAAAAATATTTAACGAATAAAATCAGAGATCCGCAACCGGTGTGTCGGATTGTCGCGCCGCCAGTGTGCCGCAAGACGATGATGGGTGTGCAGAGCAGAGGCAACAATGCCTCTAACCCTAATGGGACGAAAGTACCAATTTACTTTTGGTCAAAAATTAATAAACCAGCAATTATGGAAATCGTTCAATTTATGCTCGACATTATTAAATATTAATATTTAAAAGAAGTAGACATATGTTTGTTTCACTTTCACTCTTAAACTAAAGCGAGCATGACAATTTATATATTTAATAATTTATTAATCTATATTCTATATTTATATACTTATTATTTAATAGATATATTTTTGATGACGTGTATATGACTCTGTAAGAATACTTATTATTTAATAGATATATTTTTGATGACGTGTATATGACTCTGTAAGAGAACATTATTATTTTATTTTTCAATGAACTTCCACAGTGGTATGGCATTGATCAAATAGCTTTACTTTCGGGTACGGTATGGCGCCGTATGATTTGTAAAAAAAAAAATATGTAAAAAATCATGGCACAATAGCAAATAATAGATTGTTAGTAATGGCCCTCCCCTGAACCCAAATTAAAAAAAAGAGTAAAACGTAACAAATGAGAAATTTCTTTGGCAATTCAATAATGTTTTACCAAGCATATGATCAAATGTGATAATTGTCCCTCAACAACTTCAAGTACTGTCAGAAAACATGTTCTATGTGGCTATATCGCCCCTGGATGGCACACAAGTAGTTTGGAAACACGCGATGATGTGATCCACATTGTTGAAGTTGAAACCATTTGCGACCCTCAATTTAAAAAAAAAAAGCCAAACTTTTTAATGCTTTGAAAAGCATGTAATGATGGCATTTCACTTCAAAAACCAATAATAGTAATAGGATATCATCATGACAACTTTCTGTGTGTTAGGCCCACAGTTTGCGTGGACTTATGAATATTATGATGCCCCAAAGAGGACACTTCAGGAGGATAAGGAACCTATAATTTGGTGTTCAAGGTCTTAAACCTGTCTCATCATAAATTATGTAATAATATTATAATTATTAATAAATCCATATAACTTTTAACTTTCATAGCAGTACTTATTGTCTTTTAATGTTAACTGTCATTAATTAATGACATAAAACTAGATTAACTGATTCAGTGTTACTGGTACAATAATAAAGGAAAAACCCTACAAATATTCAGACTAAAAGCTATGTAATTAAGAAAATTTAATAATAATTAATTAAACACAATTCTCTTCATTACATGAAGCATCATATTGAAAAAAAAAACATTAAAAAAAGATAAGTCCTTACTGAAACAAAGTGTTTATTATAAAATATTACAATATGAAACAACCAAATTTGAGCAAACATTTAAAACAGCATGTGAAATAAAAAATGAATATCACAGTCAAGATATCCAAATAATAAAACTAATACTAATACCAATGAACATTCACTCTTAGAATACATCCAATTAAATAAAATAACAGTAGTTTTTAAATATATGAAGTATGAAGAAAGTACCGGTATGAAATATTATTGAGTATCAGATTTATGTAAGTTGTTGATGGACTGTTCGCCCTGCCACAGTAAATGTGATGTTGGTCCTTGCTTGTATTAGTCACTTTTAGTGTTATAACGGTGCTCCATTTAAATGTTTAAAGATTTTTGTTTACTTATGAATATGTGACAGCATTTAAGAAAAATTATTGCAGTGGTGTTATTCAAAACGTTAATCTAACAACTGGTTCCCTTAGGGATACAGTATCCAACATTCTGTTAAAGTTAAAGCAAGTGGTGGGCATAAGTAAGAGAGAAACAAAAAAATTACATTCCTTTAATTGAAAATTGAATGTTAACAAAGTGAAAAATATAGCACTATTAGTTTTAGATTAGTTAGGCATAAGCTTGTCTATGCAATGGAGACTTGTGTAAAATGGAAAATATTTTAAGAGACAAATTATTTTTTAAGAAACAGTTCATTAAAACTGGTGCCAACTGGCTGAATGACAACACCAAGTGCATATAGTTAAAGTCTAATATTTAATGCTTAGGACACGCACATAATCACTTTAATAATGAATTCATAAGTTTGTTTGTATTAGTAACTTATAAAGTGACAGAAACACAATAATTTATTTTCCATTTGAAGGTTAAAAAAATTAATTAAAAATTTAAACTTAATACATTTAATAAGTTCTAAAAAATGTTCCAGAAAAGATACAGAGTTTAAAAATTAAAAAACTGCTTGTGGCACATTTGAAATCAATATAATTTATTGAAAAGATATAATCGTGCATAACATCACTTGGTACCATACATAAGATTCTAGATGACAGAATGCTTTGCAATTTGTAGGGCCTGATAATTTAATGTTACTTGTTCCACTTCTTGGGAAAAAACACTTCTATACCAGCATGTAAAATGTCTGCCAATAGATATGCTAAAAATAACAATAATTACAAGCTAAATAATTGACGGGTTTTAAAAAAAGCAAATACATATTTACACTAGTCCCAATCTATCACTATCACAGCCAATGTTAATTTAGTGTCAAATCATGTTTTTCAAAACCAGAATGCAATATGTAATCATTAAAAAAGTATGTTAGTACTGATATACATGGTTTAGGTAAGGTTGTTTCTAAATTCCAATCAGTGAGTTTAATAAATAAGCATAAATATTAAAATTTACATAATAAATGAGTTAAAAGTTAAACTTGTTTTTCTGTGATTTCAACTTTGCAACAGCCAATTATAATGACTATCAAAGTACCATTTTAATGTCTAAACAGAGAAAAGATGATCACGATTTAGTACTGATAATAGCTGAAATGTATTGTGAAGAAACATGTATTCAATTTTTTGTTGAAGGAACGACCTTAATTCTTAGCATAATCACATTTTAAATTGTTTTTCATTCATTCAATTATGAAAGTGTGTCAAGGGCTTGAAATTTACTATGATATAAAAAAATAATAATGCATCCCAAATGTTGGGAACCCATAATCAAGAGCAGGGCCTCCAAACTATGGCTCGTGGGCCAGATGCAGCCTGCAAGGCCCTCTCATCCTGCCCCTGGAGACCTTTTTGTCTATGGAGAAAATTACGGAAATGTACGTCATTTGCAGGTGAGATCATCAAAGACCTCCAGCTGCAGTAGCGGTTTTCTGACTTGGATTCAAAGGCAGAAGAAATGAGACTGTTTTAAAAACCATTTGAAGCAGATGGGGCCAGATGCCCAGATGAACTGCAGCTGGAGGTCATTGAGTTGCAAGCAAATGACCTTCTTAAGGACAAGTTCAAAGAAGGACTGGTGTGTTTTTACCAGTATTTGCCCAAGGAAGATTTTCCTAATGTCAAAACTTGTACATCAAGGTACCTTTCAATCTTTGGAACAACATACCTGTGGGAACAAATATTTTCAAGAATGAAATACCGGTAGTTGAAGAAAAACTTGTCCAATGATAATCTCAGGTCACTGTTGATGTTAGGGACATCAAATCTAAATCCAGAAATGTCTGCTATTTTAGCATCCAGGAAACAATTTCACCATTCCCATAATATAGGTGTTCATGTATATCAATGTGTTATTACATAATAACTGAATAAAATAATACTAATACCGGGTATTAAATAAATAATTAAAAACAACATCCATGTTTTCATTCTTTTTTATTTGGACCTCGAGTGTGTAGTACGCCCCCAAACTGCAGTTTGATAGTTAATGCAGACCTCAGGCTAAAAAGTTTGGAGACCCATGATCTAGAGGAAAGTTGTATGTGTAAAGAAAAAAAAAGATGGCCAATGTCAGCAAAAATTCTATACAAAAAGGTATTTACAGCGTAAGCTTGGGTTTAATTAATTTTTGCGTGCCCCAAACGAACATTAAATTTATATAAATACTGCAGTTACCTAATGGAAAAGTTAAAATACATTTGATCAGATACGGTAAACAAAATTTTTAGCAATGTCACAATCTGTTATTAATTTTATTTTTATGAAACAATTCTAGCGCACTTAGTCATTTTTTTCCTAATTAAAAAGCATCAAAGAAAAAAATGTTTCAATTTCCATGTTCATTGTTTTGAGCGTTGAAAAAAGTAAATATTAGGCTTGCAATAACTTTAAAATTAAAAAAAAATTCTTTTTATACAAAGAAAAAGAGAAACTCTTATTCATATTGATTCAGTGATAAGATCCATATAGCTGAATAAACAAGAGACAGATTTTGGTTTGTAATAAAAATGTTACTGGAATGAAATGAAAAAAAAGCTGTGGTGTAAACAATAATATGTGGCACATGAGTGAAAATGAATTAATTTTACAGAAGTAAGTTGACTGAATTTATTAGAAAAATAATTTACAATTTGTGAGATAGTTTTTGATATTTTGACATGCAGGTCTTTCCATAAAGAACATTCTAATGACCTAAAATAAAAAGTTTTATTTAAAAAAAATCAGAACAATTAAATTTTCACACATTTACAATTTAGAGTATTCAAAATTTGGATGAGTTATGAATTAGAATCTGTAAATGATGGTTAGCATCATTAAAGCAGCACTTCTATTTCCTCTCGGTAGAATTTATTGTGCTTAATGGTTACGCAATAAATAAGCACGAAAAAAAAGAAAATCAATTACACTGATTATTTCTTTATCTGCAAAATTGTTTTCTTAAGGTTGCATTTACTTAACAAGCAGTTGTAAAACATGTCACAGAATCAGAAAGAAAATATGGTACCAAAAATATTTACTTTTCCGTATTGTAATAATCACTTTCTTTTTCACTTTATTAATTTAAGTATTTTGCATTGAACTCAATAGACTCAAGGTAGCTTTTAGGTCAACATTTTCAGGGGTAAACGAAGATAAGTTGAGTTCAGAGGACTTCCAAGTACCCTGTACTTGTATACCTATGATTATGGTGTCTGTGGGAATGTCAAAGTAAAAGAAATGTAGAAGCACGTGAATGGCAAAACTGATAATAGTATACATAAAATGACAGCTGTGCATTTAATCAAAGTAAAGGTATAATTTTTCCTTTGGCACAATTAGCTAAATGAACCTGTACATCCTTGACATCAACTGGACACCACTTGTAGTTTTCAGAGGTCACTGTAGGTGGTGAGACTTGGTCAGAGAGGTCAAGGCTGACAAGTGTCGTGATACAGATGCCATCTTCTGATTTGCCAGTACCGGTACCCCTGTGCTCCACTCCCAGAATCCCGCACATTCGGATGCTTGCCGAACTTGGGTTTGTTGTGAAGGCTTCCTATGGATGATGAAATTTAATATGAATATCATACTGCTACGAGAGCATTCTTTCTACAATTTTATAGTAACAGTAAATTACTGAGTAATTAAATACCATTTCTTCAACTTCAATTGATTTAATTTTCTCTTGCATAGTACCTGGTATGCTACAGATAATTAAGAAATCACAATAACTTCTGAACTTTTGGTATCTATCATTTTTCATTCAATCATTTGATATTTTATTATAACAAAAATAATTTTAAAAGGTGAACTCACTCTTAATATAGCATAGACTGATATTGCTATTGAAGAGCCTTTGCTATGGTTGATAAGAGCTGTAGGAATGTGAAGGCCACTTTTTTTGTTTGCTAAAATATTCATGGCAATTGTACTGAAAGTTCAAAAAGTTTCAAGCATTATGTGTTCAAATAAATTACCGGTACATGATTTATAAGGATGCTAACTGAAACCTTTAAAGTCCACTTCTGAAAATGTTAAGTCAAAATATTAAAATGTTTTAAATTCAGTTGTTCCATCAGTCCAATGCTAATAAAATACTTCGAAGATATTTAGATTTGTTTCTCTCCATATTAAATTTTCTTTGCATTTTATACAGATAAAACAATTTGACTCTTTTTCAGGTAGGGTAAACATAATAATCTATCATAATTAGTATCTGTAAATTATTACAAACCATTTTAATTACAATTTCTGTAATAGTTTTCAGGTACCGGGTAGCAGAAAAAACAATATAAGTTACCGGTACTTACTTGGTATTAGCTCGATCAATAACAACAACTCTATTTATCAAAAGTTTGTGTGGGCATATCACAGGCAGGGTACATGGTATACGGTGTGTAATCTCAGAGTCCCAGTACTTCTTGGCCAATTCTACAACTTTCAGGATATCGCCATGTCTGGAAAAAAATTTGAAGGAAAAAGTTATACATGGGTCTATAAGATTTAGAAACTAATATGAGAAATTTGAGTCTGCATTTCAACATTTTCTAAAACAAATGAATAAAATGTATTTTAATTTATAAACAAATGAGTAAACTGACCTCAGTATGCCAATGGATGCTTGGAATTCTTCATTACTAAAAAATTTGGCTTGGATTGATTCCTCATCTTGCTGCTCTGGTGTTTTCAATTTCCCACCTTTAATAAGTAGCATATAAATATAAGTGATTTAAATTATAATACTAAAAATGTATATGTGATTTTAACAAAAATTTTGTTTATTGAATTTGTGTTGATAACACTTTCTTCAGCCCATGGCCGCAAAAACTATGAAAAAAATTGTATTAGTATTTAATTTACTGTCAATTTCATCAATGCTCAACTAACATTATTTAAAAATTTATTTTTTCCCTTCTCTGTATTTTTTTCCAACAGCTGCAACTTAACTAGTAAGACTACCAGTACAGCCATTATGGTGTTCATAGATTATTTTTTAATCCCATGACAAATTGGCTGCTGTCTTCTGACTTGAGGTTGGATATTTTTTTTCAAAACGTTAATCCTCCACCTCAAGAATAGCAGCCTTACCTATACTTTGGATTGACCTTACACAATTTACATTTGCTACGGTACCTATTGTTTCAGAAGTAGACAACATTACCACTACACCACTGTGTTGACGAAATACCAAAGTGTCTCTGAAAAATTTCTACACCAGTACTTATGTAAAAATTTAGTTCAGCGAAGCCCAACAGTGTTTACTAAATTAAAATTTAGTTTTCATTAACCTCTACTTCATTCTTTCTTTTATTGAGGGCTACCTGTAATTTTCCCTGTAAAAGTAAACCTCATCCAGGTATGGCTTGAGACCTCTACTGAGATTAGCGTTGTCAAGTCACAATCAAAGCCAGATTCTTCTTTCACCTCCCGTTTGGCACCATCCTGCAATGCACAATAAAAAATGTTTGCATAATATTTAAATACATAGAGATTAAAGTTTTATATATTATAGTATTTTAAATTAACAAAAAAATGTAATAAAATACTTTTGTCACATATGTAATGTATTCTCAATATAAATCAAATTTTTATAAATAATTTGTTTAGTTGTTGATATGACAAATGGATATGATTATGATACATTATAAAAGAGTTCTTATACAAAATAAATTGGCACATTACTGTGCCGTCACAAGTCTATCAAACTACTGTGATTACCACAAATCTACATGCCCACTGTGAAAATTCTAAAACTATTTTCTTGTCTACTTTTTCAAGTCATTCACATCATTGTATTCTGAATTTAAATTTCCTTTTTAGTGATTTAACTTACCATAATTGTTTCCCCTGGTTCTAACCGTCCAGCTGGTAGATACCAAGTTCCTCTACATGATTTCTTGGCTTCTTGTATCAGCAGTACATTTTTTTTGTCATCAAACAGCACAACCATACAAATATAGCACATATTAACCTTAGTTTTTGGGATAAAATTGTCTGAGAAGATAGAAATATATAAGTCATTTACAGGTGTCACATCCAGGTGTTTTTAACATAATAATGAAATAACTGATAACAAATATTTAGAACGTAACATATCAATCCATAATGGATTAAGAATTAAAAAATTCTATTGGTATATTAATATTAGAAAATAGATCATGCTGTTTGTTTATAGTTAATTTCCAGTAAGTGAAACAAATGATATTCATTCTACTTTCTACATAAGAACTTTAAATTATTACTATTTAGCGGCAAAAGTTACATAACAATAGAAGCTATATTTACTTTCTGTATCAGCATAAATGTCAACGTCTTTGTTCAGAGTTACTTGGTCGCCATGAAGAATGGCTTGAATATCTTCCAGGATACCCATCCTGTTAATTTTGTTATGATATTCCTGAATATTCTTTTATTTCTTTTACAAGGATTTCAACATACTGGAAAAAAAAGCATTCAGGCTAAACATTATTATTATTAAAGTGGTCTTAGGGCTAAGCTCACTGCACTTCACATAAAAATTAGCAAACAAAAAAAAAAGAAAAAAAAAGCCATTTATAAGCAGTTACATAAAATTATTCATTTAAAAACAGCTGTGTACAAATATTGACCTCGCCCTCCCAAGTAATATTGACCCCTGTCTATGCATGGTCAGCATGTAGCTGCATCGAGCATTGTTTATTGCTCAGAGACAGAGGGGTGTGAGAATGAGTCGGAAGAGTAGAGTTTGAAGAGATGTGTCATGAGTGCAGTTTTGAAGGCTTGGATGGTACTAGGTAGGTATATTGCGGATGTGTAATGGGAGAGAATTCAATTATTTGGGGGCGCAGAAAGAGAAAGATAGTTCACTGTATGTTTTAGTGTGTGTCTTGGGAACAGAAAGAATACACATGTCTGCGGAGGAATGAGCAGTCAAAGGGGTGAATAGACAGAAAGTTCTGAGTATGAATTTAAAAAAAAACTACCTGGTAATGACCTTTAATCATTGTGGAATTGCAAAATTCTTAAAGTAATTGTTAATGATAAAAAAAAATTGGACAAGCTTAAATACCAAAGAAACTGTTAATACCAAAAGTACAATGATTTTAAACAAGTACCCGGTACACTTAAGTTAAGTACACAAAATGATACCAATTAACAGATTAAACCAGGCACTTCCTGGGCCTTCAATGGGATTCATATAATGAGTGTTAATCAGTTATATTAATTCTATATATTAATCACTTTTTTAAGATAAGCATAATAGGCCCTATAGTTAAAGTTAAATGTGTTCCCATTTCCAGTAGTTTATCCTCAAAATAGCTGTCTTTATTTATTTTGATGAAGATTATGGGTATTTAAAAAAAAAATTCTATAGTTAACACTGAAAATAAAGGCTGGGTTGAGTCAGTGGCATAGCTAGGGTTAGTTCCAACCGGGGTGGGCCAAGAATTTTGCCACCCCCCACATTTGAAGCCCTTTCTCTGTTCACAAAAAAAAACTCTGCAGCTGATAGAAAATGCTGCCTCTCCATTTAAATTTCGAAGTGGATGCGTACACCGCGGCGGTGTACCTAGCGAAACCATCGGCTTTGGCCTGCGTAAACCGCGGCGGTGTACCTAGTGAAATTGTGGGCTTTGGCCTGGGTACACCGCGGCAAAAATTTACCATTAGCCTGGTTTTAAGATATACTTGTTAGAGAAGGTCATGTGTGGTCAAGTGGTAGAGTGGACGCTTGGCGATAATATAGTTTGAGATCAATTCTCAGTAGGGGATCGAGTTTTTTCCTCCCATTTTAGTTTTAAAATATTTGTAGCAATTTAAACAATTTAAATATATGTTTAAATATTATATTAAATACACTTTATATATTTATTTATATATATAAGTGTTTCAACAAGTTGTGCCGGCCTTTGACTTTGAAAATACCGGTAACTTTAGTAATAAGACTTTAGACATTTGAAAACAAACTTAAAGTTTCTGAAAGCGCATGTAATACATGGTGATCATGTATAGTTAGTGTATGTCAATGTAACATGTATAACAGAAACATTATGAATACTAAGTGACTGATATTCTATTGTATTTCAACATTCTTCGTGTAGTTGAATATTTACATTTTACTTTTACGAACACCCAAAGAAAATACCAGTATGAATAATATTCATACCATATGAATATTAATGTGCATGGTCGTATTTCAACCTTGAACCATCTTGCTTTCACTATGCCTTATGCATTGGCAAAATGTACATACGATATCAAAGGTTCATTCACAACACTCAGTCTCACAGCAAATCTTTTGAAAACACCTCGATTTTAGAAACTTGCGAAGCGGTAGCAAACTGTATAGAATAGCAAAGTCATAGGTCTGCGTTTACCCTTTCCATGACGGAATTCGTTTCCAGAATGGCATGGCATGTGCTATTCTCAGGGTAAAACACGACTTTTTCTCACAGAAACCATTGCACAATGGGCTTGGGACAGGATTTGCACTATGTCAAAGTTTTTGTATTTAATTTGTTGTTGTTTTTTTTTTGTTAAGAAATCGATCCTTGCCGGGGAGTGGGGGGTGGTGGTGAGTTATGGGCAGAGGCTTAAACAAAAAGGGGGCATTCACAAATCACGGCTCAGGATAGGAGTTGTCCACAAAGGACGTCCGCACAACAAACTTACCTTTTGCACCCCCCCCCCTCCGCCAGCATTTAGTGTAATGCCAATGTAAAACTAAATCAATGATATTTAATTATTGTTAAAAGACTTTCAAAAATCACTGCAGTGTTTCGTATTTATCATCATACTGTTGTTTTGTGTTGACACATGCTTGCTATCATAAAGACAATGCCTTGGACTACTTGAACTTCACGACTTCATGATCAATATATGAGTATGTGATTCTCTTCCCGTAGTGTATATGTGGCGTAATTATATCTTGGTGCTAACAAAATAGATTCACTGTCTTCCCATTCATTTTTACACCATGCCCCGAGGGATCACATACAATGTTATATTTATAATGCCCCCCCCAAAAAAAAACCAACAACAAACAACTGGAAGCGTGGAACTTACTCAATGTCTTCCCAAGGTAATAAACGAATTTTAAATAAATAGTTTTCAGTTTTAACACGAGTATAACATTAAATCTACAAGTACCGGTTAGGCCAAAAAGTTAAAGACTCGCAAAGACCATAGTTTTGCTACTTTAAATCGCTGCGGTGTACGCAGGCCAAAGTCAATAGTTTCGCTAGGTACACCGCCGCGGTGTACGTAGTGCCGGCCTTTAAATTTAAAGAAATAAAGGGCTGCCCTAAGTGGACCTACCTCTCCACACCCCCTTCCTATGCCACTGGTCCTGAGTTGACTAAGGCTTTAAGTTTAGGGCCCTTTACACTTTTTGAAATTATATGCCAAAAATAATAATATTAATTAGTTTTAGTATTAGTATTAGTAATTAGAAGATCAAGATGAATTTTTGCTTTTCTTTTTTTCGTTGAAGGATTCAGTCTTTAGTAAATTAGTTACTTATTTTATACTCATTGTGTTAATTCAATATATCCTTTCATTTCATTCAAGGTTTTTCTCTTTTTTAAAATTGTACTACTTTAGTTAGACGGAGTCAAACTGAAGCACTGACTCAGACTGCTGTGTCAAACTGTCTCAGCTCTTTTAATCAGCTACGTCATCCAAGAAAGTTTTTTATTTACATTATGTAAACATTAATATTATGGGCCTACCTTGATTATAGTTTTAAAATCTCAAATGCATAATTTATGTGGCGTACACCTAGTTGTAATTGGACATTAAAAGAGCTATTTTATTTGCCTTTAGTTTACAGTGTGTTAGGGGACATAAATACACGTTATATTGTTTTCGAAATGACAGTGCTTGCCCATGACCTCCTCTGTCTCAAAGTTAATATCACCAAATAATGTCAATTTCGCGATTTTGTTTTACCTTACTGACCAGCACCTATCAGTGATACAACAAAAGCCAATCACATCACCCTATTCATATATTTAATTTATATACATAGAATAGACTTACGGAGAGTTAATCTAAGTTTAATACAAATTTCCTTTGTTTTTAAACGATGCTTTGGGAACTAAAATTTTTTTTGAATTACAAAATAAAATCATCCATTTACCTTTCGGCCTTTCGAAATTAAACTTTAAAAAAAAAAAAAAAAAAAAAAAAAAAAATTAAATTGTATGTTACATTACAGCTGTAATAATAAAGGGCTTTGTTTAATATTTTTTTTTTTTTGTTAAAAACGAATGACAATTAGGCTGGGGAGTTAGTGAAGAGGCGGTAGGATAGTAGGTGAAGCGTAGCAATTTTTGTTAGAAAACATTTCCTACATACTTTAACAGTTAAAATCTTGAGGGCCTGTCAGTTCTTAAGTTTTTTTTCGCATCATATCACTTATAGGCTAACACTAAATCCACATTCAGCTTAATGTGAAGATGGAAATGGTAACAATAGCTGTTTAGCACATTTGGTCGAATTGGGATATTTGATTTCTGTTTCATAATAAAGCCATGCTATCACTCCTTTGAAATTAGATACAGTTTTAACAGACTCATTATTTTGCATTTATGCGAATTCTTCTTGATATATTATGCTTGAAATATCAGACAAATTCCTCTAACATTGGCTGCATCATCCACTTTGGACAATATGTTATTTATTAATCAAAAACTCTTTCTTCTAAATGAGATCATACTTTTTAGATGATTGACAATAACAATGATATTTTATTAATTTTTTTGTTACAAAAATATTTTTGACATAATTTAATAAATGTAATAAAACAAAATATCTTTGCTTTTGCATCGTCAAGAGTTTTATTTGCTCCTTGAATTTGTTTACTTAATATATTTAGTTTTTCAAAGCTATCGCCTAAATAACTCACAAATACATTACCATCAACTGTTAACAGGTTTCTCTCTTTAAAAGTCCCCAAGAGTATCAAATGGTTCCATATATCTTTTCAACGAAATCCACAAGGCCAAGGATTATTCTTCAAGGATTATAAGCTGGTTCCCAACAGCAAATCGCCTCTCTTCACGCCGCTGGATAACCCAAGGGAACATCATTGGATGATACAGCTTGGCACCAGTGGCGTCGAAGGAGTTGTCGGAATGTTTCATTGTACCAGTGTTATCCGCCTTCGGGACTCCATCTCCGGGTTTGATTTCAGAGTTTCCTTCTCTTAGATGAGTTGCCATCCAGGTTTAACGGGTCCCATCCATCCAGGGTGCTGGTGATGTTTTTGCTTGAATGGGCTTTGACTGGAACTCCAGACCACCAACTTGAGATTTGCTCAGTTTGGACCACTCGGCCACCTTACTTTAGTGTGAAGTCAAAGTCTCATATGGTCTGCATTTGGTTTTTCACAAAATAGCTTGAAGAAACACTCAAATTTGGCACTACCTTTAATAACACTGACATACTTTATAGCTGAATTTATTGCTTCGTTAAGAACAGGTGAAATATTTTTAGCTACCAAGTTTCCCTATGAATAGCACAGTGCACAAGAAGCATTTTGATTCTTATTATTCATTGATTTTTAAACACACATTTTTGTTGCCCATCATATTAGGAGCACATAACAACATTTTATTTTTCATTAGTATATTATTGAAATCTAAGTCAGTACTTTTTAACGTATTATACAGGGTGGGCCAAAAAAGTGAGAACATCTCGTAAAATATTACGCTACGAAATGTTCTCACTTTTATTGGCCCACCCTGATATATATTTGGCAGTATTTGTGCTTTCTAATGATGTACAGAACAACATTTCCTCAGCAAAATCTACTTTATCAATATGTCTTACGCAATATATCAGTATGGCCTCACTGTCTCTTAAAATTGATTGACCCATTTAGACTGACAATTTGGTGTTTTTTTCCAGCTTTTTAAACAAGTTTTATTTCAATATCTTCACTCAGTTCATCTATTCGACTGCTAACTGTATTATTACTGAGTGGCATAGCTTTCACGTCTTTGTCATCTTTTCCCAGAACTTTGGATGGTTTGATTAAATTCTCTCTTATTTTATATTATGATTTTACCCAGATTTAGCAATGAGTAAAGAGATTTCATGACTAGATTCAAGAGTACGATTGACACATGCGGTATGGGTAGTGAACAGAAAAGAGTACGATTGACAGTTGCAGTATGGGCAGTAAACAGACAAGAGTACGATTGACAGTTGCAGTATGGGTAGTTAGTAAACAGACAATAGTACGATTGACAGTTGCAGTGGGAGCAGTAAACACAGACTTTAAGTTTTCTGTCTCAAAAGCTGCGAACGTCTTTGGAAGTTATCAAGGAAACCCAGAGAATCCACTACAACATCTTCAAGGACGTCTTGGGCTCGTTCAAGTACGGCATGCTGCTGGACACGGCCGACTTCGAAAATAAAGGCGACCCGACAATCACAACGGCGGAGATTTACTTCTTGGCGCGCATCAAGCTCGACTTGATCTACTACTGCAACACCCAGGCCTGCACGAATAACAACTTAGTAAAGGCGGCACAGTTGGCGCAGAAGTACTCACCGAAAGATCTCGTCATTCTCCTACACGGCGGCGGAAATATCAACGGTTACGAGGGGCACGATCATTTGCGTTTTCAGATATTTGATTTGTTTAAAGGGTTCCAATTTTTTTTGTTCCCGCAGAGCATTTGGCCGAAGCCTGGCAGCGGGGAACACCAGGAGTTGTGTCGTAAAATGTACTGCTGTCACGAGAATCTAACGATGGTGTTACGAGATGCTCAATCTTACTCGATTGCCGATAAATTCTTCAAAGGCGCCACACGTCTGCCGATGGCGCCGGACATCGCCTTCCATTTGGGTCCTGTCAAGCGATCAATAGCTCCGGTTTTTGATATCCTGTGGATTCGAAGGACTGATAAGGAAGGCCCGAAATATGACATGAACATATAACATCCTCCTCATCTCCGCTTGCACGTATCGGATTGGAACCTCTTCATAACTCCGAGAGCTGGGACCAGCCTAGAGAAATCCATGTACGCCACCATGATGGGCCTCTTCTACATACAGCGTGCTCGAGTGGTCATCACTGACCGTCTTCACGGACACATCTTGTCCATGTTGCTGGACATCCCCACGTTCTGGTGGACAACCCGGCCAAAAAGCTGTTCAGCTATCATGACACATGGACGCGCGGGGTCGAAAATGTGAGACTCACTACCGATCCTACCCAGGCCGTTGGCCTCGCTTTAGAGTTATTAGAATTGTACAAAACTGAATTACCTCCCCGTTCGCCCTGGCTCAACATTAGTGACACTTTTCGAGTCATTAACTACACTCTACCCGAGACTGGCTTCTCTTGAACAAATTTAGAATTAGTTTTTTTTTTTATATTTAGAAAAAAGGTGAAAATTTGCTTCTAATTTATAATGGTGGGATTGTTGAAACCGTTGACATCTGAATGCTATCTGTATAATTATGACGGTCTATTATTTGATATTACTTTTTTGTATATTTACACATTGATATATAACGTTAATCATGTATTTATATCCCGACTGTCTGATGTGATGTGAATACCGGTAATTTAATGTTTAAAAGTCTCTTTTTTTCTATGAGTGATCATCCGTAGAGTACGTAAGCACCGCATGAGAGGGGAGAGGGTTTTTTTTAAATTTAGAAAACGGTATATGGCCCCCGGGGGGAGGGGGGTTGAGGAGCTTGCCAGAGAGTATGTAATTTATGCCCAAATTATATAATGATTGTTCTAAAAGTATGCTATTCTTAAACAGCCTATTTGAAATTGGATTTTTTTGTGTACTTGAAATTTGATTTTTTTTTGTATGTACGTAATGCAAGGATGATCGCTAACCAGGAAACCATATTTTTTATCCTAATTAATGGGGTTTTAATATTGATGTTTAAAACAAATTATTAAAATACCTTCGAAAGGCATTGAATGCTCAATTATTCATTTTTTCCACACATGCCGTCATAAGTGCCTTCATAGCGCATAATCTGTTGTATTAATCCGCCATGTATGTCAGCGGTCAGTGCTGTCACTACACAATTTTCTGTTATACACATGTCTGTGCCGGTGTTTCGGTTGACGATGTCACCATAACAATCTCCCGATGTCTAAAAAATTGTATCTGGTTATGTGAGTTGGCAATGCCGTCCCCACGCATATCAAGTACTATTTATACATCTATGTCATTTGTAAATTATGTCACAAAGTTTATCATGTGATAACTGACATAACGTATGCACTGTTTCTTTTAGACAATGTGTTCGGGGAGGGGGGTCGGTCAGATCTTCGGTAAGTGCCAGTGGCGGGGCGTGGAAGGGGAGTGAGGGGCAGTTTACTCTCAGGGGTCTTGGTTTTTCATGTCATGAAGGGAGGAATTGTTTGCCAATTGCAGAGTTTTTAATGATGGAAGGAGTGTAAAACAAAAAAACACTTGGCCCACCCAGCGCGGCCCTGACTCTAGCTACTGGACACTACATCTATAAGCGCTAAAATTAGATATAATGGCGACCAGGGTTAGCATCTCCGAGGAAACTTGGGGGTGTCCACATGGGGTTTTGCCTCTTCGTGGCGTGGCAGACTACAAGGAAGGTTTCTTCCCGCAGCTAAAAACCCAGGCCACTGCATGACTTCCAACGCAACGGGAGGAACGCAATAACATGATTACTTGTTGCCGTTAATGGATATGAGATCTGGGTGGCGGTCAAAACCCTTGCCGAGGATTTTAGCTACGCGGTCCTGAGAGAGCCGCTCCTAGGTCACCGTTTCGTCCCCGCTTAAGTCACGACCGGACAACTCCCTGGAAGGTG